AGCCCCCCTCCTGCTTCCAGACACACACGCCTGTCCGTGCCCACAACCCCCGCTCGTCCGCAAAGGCCCCTGCCCTCCACGGCCACCTGCAGGGGGCGCCACGGGCTCAGAAGGTCTCGGAATCGGAGTCGTTCTCGGTGGTGTCCCCCTGGCCCTCGCTGGGGGGGCCGGAGGCGCCGGCGGGGCTTGGAGGGGACCGAGCACCCCTGCCGCCCCCCCTCCCAGCTATCGGCGCCTTCAGGAGGGAGCCAGGGGAGGGCGCTCCGGAGCTGCAAGGGGAGCAGAAAGGCATCATGGTAGCCAGAATGAGCGCCAGGCAGTCAGCCACCTCTCTGTTAGGAGCACAAGCCAGAGCGGGAGTGAGACCTGGGGGAGAGAGACAGGGAGGGGCGGGGGGGGGGACAAGGCAGCATCCCGTTAGTGAGAGACACAGCCGGCCCAGGGAGACAGACACAGACGGACACGGACCGAGAGAGAGGGGGAGGGAGTGTCAGAGCTGAGGCGAAAGGAGCAGAACTGGACACGTGCACAGAAGACGGGTCAGTGTGGGACAGAGACGGGAGACACAAGACCAGCCAGATGCTTTTTCTCTCCCTCAGACAATCGGACACAGGGAGGCAGGCCTGCTGCCATGCTGTGGTTAGACAGGGCGCTACACAACGACACTGCATGCAGACGCCATAACTTGTACTGAGGAATATTGGCGTGGGGCGACGGCAAGCGGTCTGCTTCTGAGGCGTCGGCCTGTCTCGCTGTCGTGTTTGAACGGGCCGGCGTCTCACGTACCGTTCTCATCCTGAAGCTGGACACTGGCCCCTCGGGACAGCAGCTCCTGGACAACGTGCTTCAGTCCACTGCGGGCAGCCAGGTGGAGAGGACTGGGAGAGAGAGACGGAGAGGCTTCACTGCACTGCAGTGTACACAGAAACAGACCACAGAGACGAGAGTAGAGCCGGAAAGAAGACGCACAGCAGAAAGACCGACACAAACGCGCCTCGAATACTCACGTCTGCAGCGCTGCATTGGCGGCGTTGATGAGGTTTGGGTCTGTCAGCTTCTCCAGAATTAACAGAGCACACTGCTCCTGCCCCTTCACAGAGAGACAGAGGGGTTAATGCACACTGCTCCTGCCCCTTCAC